CCTACGTCCTCCCCCTTCATCCCCCCAGCATCCCGACTGCTTCCCCCTCAACGTCCCCCCCTTTATCCCTCCTGCCTCCCCCCCTACATCCCCTCTCCCTCCCCTCAGCACCCCCCCTGCACCCCCGAGTCTCCTTCGAGCCCCCCGGGGTCCGGCCGGGGCCGGGCAGCCGGCGGGGGCTGTTTCCCAAAGCCGGGACGGGAGTGAGTGCCCTGGGGGCAGCTGCCCAGGTGGGTCCCTGAGCCCGTTGCCCAGGTGGGTCCCTGAGCCCGTGGTGTTTAAGGGCAGGGAGTCTCCCCCCCCTGGAGCCGTAGTGGGGGTCCCGAGGGTCCCAGAGTGGTCCCTGGCTGCGTGGGGAGCCCGGGGCAGGGGGGGAGGCTGCCGGCTGCAGGAGCTTCAGGACAGACAGCCAAGGTCAGGTTTGTGATTTTTTGGGGGTACTTGGAGTTTGCTGCTTGTTTTCAGCTGAGGAGCCGGGTTTTGGAGCCTCGTGGCAGAGCGCTGGGGTCAGTTTGCCTTTAGGAAAACTCCCTTTCCCTGCGCTTTGCTCAGCACTCTCCATCTCCTCCCGGGGTGGGATTGGGGATGCTGAGCTGGGAGCATCCGAGCTCCCTCCATCACCCCCCCTCCTGCCCAGGGATCGTCCTTCCACCCCTTCCCTCTCCTCTGACCCTCTGGCTGTGAGCGCCCGAGGCCGAAGGCTCGGTTCCTGCGCAGCACCCAGCCTGCCGGGAGCGGGGCCGGAGGTGCCAGCACGGGAAGGTGCGTGTCCACCTTGGTTTTACTGCAGTGGGGCCAGGGAGCAGCCACCCACACAGAGCCCAGGGGGGACATGGCTGGGGCTGCCGTGTCCTTGGGGACAGGACAATGTCCCCTGCTGCCTTGTGGCTCTGGAGAAGGCACAACCTTTAAATACGCTGCAGCGGTGGCACCTCCGCTGGCTGGTGGCCAGCAGCTTTGGCTCTTGGGGCCCTTGGAGTTGTGTTTCCATATACAGTAACCGTGAGGCTCCTGCCTTGCTGGCCCCTGAGCTCCTCTTGCCCGGCCTGAGGGAAAAATCGTGATTTTCCCCGATGAAATTAAAGGAGGCAACTCCCAGATCTCAATTAGCAGCCCAGCACGGGGAGGGGGCTCAGCTCCGGGCGTACCCAGAGCTCCCGGGGGGGTCCGTGTGTGGTGTTTGGCCTCGGAGTCCCCTCAGGCAGATGGAGCGGGGAGCGGAGGCTGCACACAGCGTACGGAGCGCGCTGCTCACCCCCCCCGCTGGCACAGACACCCCCCCGCTGGCTGTAATCCCACCCGGCATGGAGCCCGGGGCTTGGAGCCCCTCCTGGGGGCAAGCCAGGGGCCGTGGTGCCTCCTCCGTGGGGTTGGATCATGCTGAAGGTCTTCAGAGGTTCCTGCAGTGTCCTGGGTATCTGCAAGGGTTGCGTGGTGGTGGCTCAGCTCCCTGGGTGCCTCCAACCTTCTAGACCCTTCAGCAGGGCTTTTCTGCCATTCTCTTGAGCTGTGACGGTGACACAGGCCGTGAAATCAGGGCAGAGGGAGGCAATCGATACCTGGCTCATGCAGAGGAGAGCGGGAGGTGCCAGGAACCAGCAGCAGCCCCTGGAGCAGGCACACAGTCCCCAGCCTCCCTGACACAGGTCTGTCCCCATCCCTGTCCCCTTGGGTGCTGTCCTGCACGTCCTCCCTTCGAAGGGACAGCGTGTCATCTTCTCTGGGTGCTGTGCCCGAGCTGCCGGGTCCCAGAGTCCCTGCCAGGGATGGAGCCAGGGGTGAGGAAACCTGTAAGTGCTTTCCCCCCGCCTGGCAGGGCCATTAACGCCCCGGGTGATGCGGTTACACCCCGAGTGATGGACGGGAGCATCCGGCCTGAGGGACACACATGTGAAACGCAGGGAAGGAGGCAAAAGCATCAGCATCGTCACTGAGCTCCCGTGGGGCCGGGCTGGGGGATGCAGCTGGTCCCCGGGGCAGGGGGAGCCCGAGGTGGCTGGGAGGGGAAGGGGTGCAATGCACAGGGACCCCTGCTCGGGGGGGGGTGAAGGTGGGTTTCATCCGAGCCCATCCCCACACCGTCAGGCTCCCAGATGGTCCCGGCAGGATGCGAGGGGACCCCACGGCGGAGCATCCCCCGGGGCTGCTGGCACCCAGCCTGTGGGAAGCAGGAGCCGGGTGGGAGAGCTGAGGGGGCTGAGGAGCCTGAACAGTCAAACGGGCAATTAACACCCGGGCAGCTGCAAAAGGGGAAAAAAAACCCCTTAGTTCTCAGCAGAACAGTTTGATTTTTCTGGAGCAGTTTGGAAATCTTCGGGAGGCAGTGACCCGAGGCCCCGGATCCTGCGAGCGGGGAGGGGTTTGGGTGCAGACCCACGGCTGAACCCCCTGGGGAGCTGAGGGGTCTGTCTGGGGAGTGTAAATCACCTGCGGGAGGCTGTAAATCCAGCCCGGCCAGAGCCTCCTTATCTCCTGCCTCCGCCGCTGATGCTCCCCAGTGTAAACTCTGCCGGGGTTCAGAGGAGGCTGTGCTGACAGAGCAGGGCAGATGGATGGGTGCTGGAGCCGCCGCGCTCGCAGGAGGGATGTTCTGCGGCAGCACAAACACGGCAGCACGTGGGCACGCGGGGCCCTGGCCATCCCGGAGGTGACCAGCCCGTCCCCCCAAGTCCAGCTGTCCCGTGGCCATCCCTAGAGACCCAGCTGAGTATAAAATTAACCCTTCCGCCTTTGGGAATCTCCAAGGAGAGCCCTTTCTGAGGTTATTCATGTTCAAGATGGGGGAAAAAAACTTCCTTATAAGGCTGGGTGGAGGCCGAGGCTCTGCCTGCGCCCGCGGCTTCCGACCGGCAGCTCCCCTCCTGTTCCTGCGCCCCGGCCAATTTTTAATCAATTTAATTGGCTCCTCTGCTCGCACACCACCACGCGCTCCGGCTTTGGGTGCCTGCCTAACGCCTGACACAGAATCAGGTGCTTTCTAGAAATCCACCCCGACTTGTCTCCCTCCCCACCCCAATCATTTGGTCGCCTCTTTGAAGCCGCTGAGACGCGCCTCCTGCGGGGTCCCTGGTTATCTCCGCACAGCAGTTTTGCTGAATTACGTGCTTGTTCCATCAAATCCTGTCTCTGATGGGCAGGGCTGGAAACCCAGAGGCAGTTGGAAGGCGAGAGGGTGGCAAATGCCCCACCAGGAGCTGGGCAGGCGTGGGAGGGAGGAGAAGCTGCCTGGGGCAGAGATGGTGGGGCTGGAGAAGCAGAAATCCCGGCTCGGTGGGAGCCACGGTCCCAGGGGGAATGCACAGATCCTGACCAGTGTGGGGTGGGCAGGGGCAGGACGTGGGGGGTGTTTGCCCATGGCCAGTTGGGACAAACTGCCCCCAGATTTGCCTGGGGAAAACAAGCTCTGATGGGGAGTGCATCCGTCCTGCTCGGTGCTGCCTTTCCATCAGCATCTTGTTTTCAGGAGGGGTTTTTAATACCTTAGCCCAGTTTTGGTGAGGTTTATTCTCCCTTCGCAGTCCTGCTCCGTCTCCCTCCTCCTGCTGAGTGATGCCTGGTGCCCAGTGTCTCCGTCCTGTCCCTCCTGGGCTCTGCACTCCTGCCTTGCTCTCACTGAGGGGTTTTCCCCCTGTTCCCACTCATTTTCCACCAATTTCACTTTCCACTCCTGTTGCCTTTCCAAGCCAGCTCTCAGCCTCTCCACCGCCTGTCGCTCCCGTCCCCGCACAGCCTGTCCCTACCCATTACTGTCATTAACACCTTGAAGGCTTTGAGCATCGTTTCCATTAGCCCTGCTCCCCAGCTCCCTCCCCACCTCGGGTTTTGCCAGAAAATCACACCCAGGCAGGGAGGGTGTGTTTTCCAAGCAGCTTTCAACCCTTGAAAAGCCGGAGGGTTGTGCTTTGGAGCGGCGCATCCCGAGCAGCCGGCTCCCGACAGACAGCCTGGCAGGGCTCAGGGACCCCATCGTTTCCATTAGCCCTGCTCCCCAGCTCCCTCCCCACCTCGGGTTTTGCCAGAAAATCACACCCAGGCAGGGAGGGTGCGTTTTCCAAGCAGCTTTCAACCCTTGAAAAGCCGGAGGGTTGTGCTTTGGAGCGGCGCATCCCGAGCAGCCGGCTCCTGACAGACAGCCTGGCTCAGACCTGGAGGACCCTGTGTGGAGATGAGTTGTGCCACCTCACTCTTCCCCAAAAACAGCACCCGCGGGGGTGTTTGTGCTGCTGCCAGCTTTCCCCCCAGGCACAGCTCCCTTTCTTGCTCCGGAGGGAAGGCCTGTGAGCCGGAGGAGAGCTCGACAGCCTGGCAGGGCTCAGGGACCCGCTCAGACCTGGAGGACCCTGTGTGGAGATGAGTTGTGCCACCTCACTCTTCCCCAAAAACAGCACCCGCGGGGGTGTTTGTGCTGCTGCCAGCTTTCCCCCCAGGCACAGCTCCCTTTCTTGCTCCGGAGGGAAGGCCTGTGAGCCGGAGGAGAGCTCGCTGTGCCAGGGCAGGAGCTGCTCTCCGAGAAGCTGGAGGTTCCCAGGCCCACCCCGGTGCATCCTGAAGGCAATTCCCTGCAGCCAGACATTCCAAAGGGCCGGATGGAGATGAAAACGAGTGGAAAAATACACCTTTGGGCTTGGCCGGGGGGTGCTTTGCCAGCAGAAGGGACCCCAGGGGACGCAGTTGGTCACCTCGGGGGATCTCTTCTCAAGGCTGATCCCTTCTCCCACTGATCAAAAGCTCCTCCGGCAGCGGGGAGTCCCAGGGGCTGGATCCTGCACCACGTCCTCTGATGTTTGCTGAGCAGAGGAGGGGGGATGTTTGCGTTTGCTCAGTTGTTTTGTCAGCTCCATGGCCCCGAGGAGACCGTGGTAAAGCCCAGCACTTACCAGGACAGGGACCGATGGGGTTTTGTGGCCCTTTGGCCACATTTAGCCGAGCTTGGTGCTCTGAGGCAGCAGTGACAGGTAAGCTCCAGCTGCCTCCCTGCCCCCAGCAGGATTTTTGGCACCTCCAAATTGCTTCATTACTTAGAAAACCTTTGATTTTCCCCCTGTTTCTCGTTCTGGCCATTTCCCCGCTGAGCCTCAGCCCTGTCAGCTGTCCCCATTGCTGTAAGTACCCGTCCAGAGACCTTGCACGATGGCAAAGCTTTCCTACCCCTTATGGAAAACTGTGAGGAGTCTCTCTGATTATTTCTTTTTGCCGTCCCCAGGGAGCTTGCCCACCTCAAACGAGCCCTTGCTCTGGAGCCGGGGTCTGGCTTGCTGGCTGGAGGTGATGGGAGGCAGCGCTTCTCCCCAGCGAGGAGAAAGCCCTCTCCAGGTTTGATGGAGCTCTCAGGCAAGGCTCCAGCACCAGCAGACCTCCACCCAGCCCAGCATTAGCCTCTAATTTGGGCTTTGCATCTCCTGGTCTCTGGTGCAGGGAGATGTGGTAATTGGATAAGAGGGGTTTAATTGCCCACGCTGCTGAGCTGAGGCTGCTCCTGCTTTCCCTCGCCCTTCCCAGGAGGAGAAGCCCTCGGTTTCCGTGCCGATGCGGTGCCAGCAGATGGAAGGGGCAGGGGGGTTTCTGCAGCTCCGTTCCCCGCACGCCGGGGAGCAGGGCTCCGTGCAGGGCTGAGACGGAGCCAGCGGCCCCCTCTTGTCCCCAGTGTCCCCGTGGGGATGGGGGGCAGGGGATGTGTCCACCCAGGGCTGGGCTGCTCCTTGGGGCATCTGCCCAGCTCTCGCTCCCCCGGCTCCTGGTGCCTCCCCAGGGCTGGTCTCGCTGAAGGCCATGGCTGGTGCAAGGGGGGCCTCCTGCTGCGCCGTGCCCCCGTGTTCCTCCGGCTTTGGCCCTTTGATGGATTTCATGAGGTTTGGTGCCAACAGCCTTCCTCTCCCCCCGAGCCTGGGTCAGGTTAAACAAACAGCGCTGAGATCCAGGGACCGTCCAGGCAGCTCCAGCGCCGGGGATGGAGAGGGAGAGCCTGGCACCCGCTTTTCCCCCGCGTTGAGCTCTCCCTGGGGAAGCTGTTGGCTGGAGGCCGCCCAGGGGACTGCTCACCCACCATAAAACTTAAGTACATGCATAAATCTTTGCGGGACCAAGGCCAGAAAATGTGATTTATCAAGCCCGACCCTGCCGGGAAGCGAGTTGCCCGTGTGAGGAGCTGCCTTTTGCCTGCACCTCGGGGTGGGCTCGGGGCAGGGTGAAATGCTGGCCACCTTGGCCACCTCCTGCTGGGTGTGTTGCCCAGGGAGCTGGGCAGAGACCTCATCCCCTGCCTGTGGCACCCCATCGCATGGAGGTGGGGGTTTGGTCCTTGATGCAAATGTTTGCAAAGAACATGTAAAACCCACCCAGGATTTTCCTGGGGGTGCAATGAGGTTATTTTGAAATAATCACCCGCTGTCTGAGCTCTGGGAGTGTCTCAGGAGAGGTGAGGTGGGAGCTGCCAGCCTGGGGGGGCTCCTGGGCTCCTCCTTTCCCACACCGTACAGGGGGGACAGCCAGGCAGAGAACAGCCTGCGTGGGGCTGTGTCATCATCTGGGGACTTCAGGGGCAGAAAAGAGGGGTTGGAACAGTCCTGATCCCAGGCATCCACCTGGGCAGCCGTGACCCTTTCCCATTCAGCTTCACCCCACCTTTTCCCATCAAGATCTGGCAATTTCCTGCTTTACTGGGGTCATGTCTGCTGGTCACAGGGTGCCCCAGCTGGTGGCAGCAGGGACCCAGCCTCTCTGGGTGCCTTTGGGGACGCTTTTCCCAGCCCTGAAATACCCTGGTCCTCAGGGGGCCAGGCTCGCAGCCTCGCTGCTGGGATGTCTTCTCCTGGTGCCCACACGGGCACTGTCCTGTGGGGCTGGGGCAGGACTTTGCTGCGTCCCTCCTTCCTCGAGCAGCCCATGTTTCTCTGCAGTTTGGTCTCACAGCTGTAACTGGGTTTGTTGTGTTTGTGGTTTTTTTTACAGCCTTGACCGTAAGATTCATCACCAGGAGATTCATTGGAGACTACGACCCAACCCTTGGTAGGTTTTTCTTGTTGCTTTCTCTGCTGCCACTGGCTCAGGCTGGAGACTCTGGTGCCCCCAACTCACCCTACTCCCTCCTCTTCCTCCTCGACCAGGCTGGCAGCAGTCAGGGCCACCAGCCGTCGTGGCACCTCCCTGGCTCTTGTGTCCCTCTTTCCTTTCCCGTTGTTTTGTGAAGGCAAATTCCATTGGGGCGAGCCGTCGGCACGGCACGAGGGAGCCCAGGGGGCTCAGTCACCCTCCTGCGGGGAGGTGGCTTTTGAGGGCCAGGCAGTATTCAAGCTGCTGGAGCAGTGGGTTCTGCTTTCCTGTCTTGTCGGGGGGGTTGTTTTGCATCTGGGTTTGAGGTTTTTGGGGCACTGATGTCACGTCCCTGCTGAAGCATCCCAGAAATGGCCGGTCGCTGGCGGTGCCTCCTCCTGCCCAGGCGGGCTGGGAGACGTGGGAAGTCTCCGTGCTGCTCCGACCCAGCTGCTTCACGGGGGGGCCCGAGGGAAAGGTTTCGTCTGAGAAACCACCCCCGCATTGTCCCCTCTGTCCTTTACATCCCCAGTCCTCCCTCGTGATGCTGAGCTGAGCTGGTTTTTCCCCCTGGAGTGCAACTTGGTTTTCCGCCCTGCGGGGGCCCGAGGGAAAGGTTTCGTCTGAGAAACCACCCCCGCATTGTCCCCTCTGTCCTTTACATCCCCAGTCCTCCCTCGTGATGCTGAGCTGAGCTGGTTTTTCCCCCTGGAGTGCAACTTGGTTTTCCGCCCTGCCCGCGGCTGCTCCCCCCTTGGGCTCGCTCTGTGTGATGGGATGAAATGCAGAGACCCCGCCCGCGGCTGCTCCCCCCTTGGGCTCGCTCCGTGTGATGGGATGAAATGCAGAGACCCCGCGGGGAGCACGCCGGGGGCCCCCCGAGCCGGAGGAGGGGGAAGGTGCCCGTTTTACCCCGTGGTGGCCGAGCCAAGCGGGGTCCTGCCCCGTGGCACGGTGTGACCGAGCCGCTCGGTCGGCGCGGAGCGAGGCGTCCCGTGGAGCAGCAGCTGCGGAGCAGAGGGGGGGCTGGATTTACTGCTGCTGGTGTCAGTGAAGCTCCAAGCAGTTTCCGTGCTGGAAGAGCTGCCCAGACACACACCCCGCAGCACGTTCATTGCTCAGGGGGAGAGGAGTTGCTCCCCTGCTGCTTCGGAGCAGGAGCTCGGTGCTGGCTGGGTCAGGGCTGTGTGAGGAGCAGGAGCAGGGTCTCAGAAAAGCCCCTCTCCCTTTGCAGACCCATCTCTCCATCACCCCTCTTTGCTCCAGCAATTTGGTCACTGTCACCCTTTATTTCCAGCCGGGCAAAAGCCGGCCGGGGGGCTCGGCTGCCCCTCAGGGACACCGATGTCATGGGCACGAGGATGTCCTTCCCGGGCACGGGGACAGGCTGGGGACCAGCTGGAGAAACAGAGGCCACCCGGGCTGTGGGGTGCAGCAGGGGAAAAACAACTTTTCCCACAGAGCTCTCATCGAGGGCCCCCGGGTTGTAGTTTGCCACCCGGGGCTTCTCTCCCTGACGCTCTTCTGCCTCTCCCCCTCCAGAGATGATTTACAGACACATGGCCGTCATCGACGGGGAGATGGTGCACTTCGAGATCCTGGACACGGCGGGGCAGGTGAGCTCACGGCTGATCTCCCCGGAGTCACCATCGGGGGACAGTGACTTGTATTGAAGGCAATCCCTGATTTTCCACCAGCTTCCGTCTGTTGTATCCAGAATATGGATCATGACATGTTTATCTCGGAATAAGGGTGTTTTGGAGATTGTGTGTCTCTAACATCGATTACAGCGTGGCTTCAGCTAAATATTCCCCACTGCCCTGTGTGGCACAGCCTGCTCCTGCTCCAGGGGAGCATCCTGATGGCAGGGGACAACTCAAGGGAGCGGGAGGGAGTTGGGTCGAAGGGGCCAACACCACCTGGATCCACCACAGGAGCCCTGTGATGGATCCCCTTCTGGCAACAGCGCTGCCTCCGCACACCCTCCCCTCGTCCCCATCAGGATGGGGCTGATCTCTCTCTCTCCATCCCTCGTTCTGCCTGACCCATCAAATTCCTGCCCTGGGCTGCCCGCCTTGCTCTGCTCCTCTGTGCAAACCAAGGGCTACAACCTCCAGGGAGATGGCACGGCCCCCCCTTGGGAGGTTCTCTAGGTTGCACCCAGAGGTGTTGGCATTTAGGAGCTGTTGGGGCTTCTGGTGTTGACAGGAGTTTGTCTGTCCCGGCAGGAGGAGGATTCCCTGCAGATAGAGGAGAAGATCAAGTGGGGCGATGGCTTCGCCGTGGTCTACTCGGTGACGGACAGATGCAGCTTCGACGAGGTGATGCGGCTCTGCTTCCTCATCAACCACATTCACTCCAGCCCCAAGCGCAGCAGCGGGAGCGAGCAGCCCCCCGTGGTCATCGTGGCCAACAAGAAGGACTTGGAGTTCGACAGGATGGTGTCCACGGAGGACGGCGAAAACCTCTCCAAAGCCTTGAAGCTTCCTTTCTACGAGATCTCCACCCGGGACAGCTATGAAGAGACCGTGGCGGTGTTCAACAGCCTCTACCAGGAGCTCATGAGACAGGGGCATTTCTCCCCAGGCTCCTTCAAGAGGAGGACAGTGTCAAAGCTGATGGAGAAGATCCCCAAGATGCAAGCCAGCTCCACCTTGAACTCAGCGGGCCGGAGCCTCAGCTTTAACTCCTTCAGGGACTACATCCCCGAGTGAGCGTCCCCACCGTGGGGGCGAGTGACAGAGGGACAGGTCATCCTGCTGCCAGGGCGCCCGCGCATCAGCCCCAGGGTGGAGGAGCAGCTCCTGGGGCTGTGCTGGCTCCCAGAGGGAAGGCTGAGACGTGGGGAGGGTAGGATTGGGGTCCATCAGCCTTTTAAAGCCCAGAGGCTTCCACAAATGGGTTTTGGGTGGGCAGGGGAGATGTTCTTTGTCCATCTTACCCCTTCGCCCCCTCTTCCTCCTCCTGCACGGCTGAAGCCAGTAGTGAAGGTGGGTCGTGGTGACTTCAGGGGTGTTGGGTCAACCCCTGGGGGCTCAGAAGTGTCTCAGCAGGGATCGGACCCAGCAGAGACACATCTGTGTGGGTTTTCCTGCTCCCCTAAGAAAGCTTGCTGGGTCTGTTTGTCCCCGAGACAGGCACCCACACGCCAGGGAGACCCCGAGGGTGGCGCTGGCTCCGGGGCTGTCACCAGCCAGCCCCATCCTGGGGAAAATGGGCATTGCTTTTGTTGCTGGTGGGTAAAATCCCCTCCAAACCTCCCCAGCCTGGTCAGCTGCTCCAAGGGGGTGGTTGCTGCCCACCTCCATCCCTTGGTGCCCCCAGACCCACCTGCCGTGTGGGTCAGTGGGTGACAGAGGGCTGTGTCCCCCTCTGCCTCTGCTGTGGCCCCCCCCAAAGAGCCAGTCCAGCCTGTTCCCCCATCTGCAGCCACCAGCATCCATCTGTCGGAGCCCGGGGCTGCATTTCGTCCCAGTTTCCCCCACCTTTGTGAGCTGAAGCGGCTGCAGAGGGGCAGACCCCTGCAGACCCCCATATCCCGCCCCCCCAGAGCCCTTTTTCCCCCCCCTGGCTGCTCATGGGCTGGCACCAGGGGCATGTTTAAAAGCAAAACGCAGATCTGTTTACAGCACAGGGGGAAAAAAAGCCTATTGATCCCTGCCTTTTCTGAAACCCCATTTTTTAACGTTTCAGGCTCCTTGGCACACTCTCCTCTAAGGACACTGCAGATAAAACCCCAGGCAAAGGGCAGTGATGGCAGCAGATGCTGCTGCCCCAGCTCGGGGTGAGGGCACCGCCTGCTCCCTGCTTTGCTGGGGCTTTTCTGCCTCCCCTGAGTCTGCCCCTTATTTCGTGTCTCCATCTGGGCTGGGGCAGCATCCCCTTCTCCGGGGGGAGGGAAATCCAACAGGTTGCCTTTCTGTTGCTCATGGACACCTTCTGCTAAGATCAGGCCTTTGCATCCCGGAGGAACAGGATTCCCGGGGCAGCCCCTCCCCTTAAAGCCTTTGCCCCGGGACCCAGCTGAGCATGGGGCCAGCAAAACCCCTGGCTGGCAACTTGAAGCACGGATGCCACGGAGCCGATACCGGGAGGTGCAAATGATGCTCCTTGCGGGGACACCCCCCTTGTCTGCTTATTAATTGCCCCATTCCCAAGGGGAAGACCACGGTGGCCTGAGAATTAGTCTTTTTGCGTGGGGCCGGGGCAGCAGAGGCGCGGGCAGGAGCCGGGATCGCAGCGAGAGCATCTTCCCCCCCACAGCATCGTCCTCTCCCTCCCTCCCGCCTGCTGCCGCTTGAGGTGACTGCGCTGGAAGACCCGTGGTGTGACACCCCGTGTGTCCCCTGTAGTGGTGAAACACCCCGTGTGTCCCCCTGTAGTGGTGAAACACCCCGTGTCCCCCCTGTAGCGACATGTCCGTGGTCGTCTGCTGCCTCCTGTGACAATAAACACCAATTAACAGCCGCCTGTGACGCTCTGGTGCCTGCGGGGACGGGGTTATTCTGTCCCACTGCTTCCCTTCCAGGGACACTGCAGCAAAGGGGGTGCATGGGGGGGGGGGGGGGAACGGCTTTTAATTTGGGGCCAGAAATCTCCCTTACCTTCTGTCCCA